CATTGCTTAGTCAACCCATAAGTTTACTCAAACCTAATCCCTTAGAGCAAGAGCCTAGGTGCGGATAATGAATATCAATTCCTTGAGTATCCAATACCTACACCCGCATTACGGGTTAGGGTTTAAGACTACTAATGGGCCAAGCTCCATTCCTAGATACATTTCCCACTAGGCATTTGTTTCAGAGCTAGTTTCAAAGGTTATTTTCCAATACCCAATGGAACCTATATCATGCAAGGAGAATCAATCCAAAGCAAGCATTAAGAATAGAAACATACACAACAATGAATAAAACAACACGTATATATCATTAAAACGTAAGGATTACAATAGAGTACGTTGGTTACATCTAACCCCACAAAACAATGGGTAGAACCACTCAAAACAATGAGGGTAAAACAAAAATAGAGATGGAAGAGAGAATGAAGAACCGAAGGAAAGACCCACACACGAACGGTCCCAAGCTCTGGGAATCCCTTCCTCAGCTCCTAAAACGCGTCCAATGTGCGAATGAGAAGAAAACCCTCGAAAGTTTCTTCAAATACAAGCTTGGGAAGTCAGATTAGGGTTACACACCCGGCGCATAAGTCTTTGCGCCCAGCGCAGGGCCTTCCAGGAAGGTCAAGTACTCTCTGCCTCATGACACGCCCGACGCAATTCCTTTTACACCTGGTGCAATGCCTTCCAGAGAGTTTGAGATACTTTCTGTCTCGATCACGCCCGGCGAGGGTAGTCTCGCGCCCGGCACAACTATGACTTGCAGAGGTGAGATACTCTGTTTCGATCAAGCCTGGTGCGGGTCATCTTGCGCCCAGCGCAGTCACTCTTCTATGCTCCTTAGCTCCTTAGATTTCCAATCCTATGGGTCTTCAATCCTCAATTCTCTAGCTCAATACCTGCACAAAAAATGAGGTGTATTAAGGTATTGTTATCTAAATTCTGGGTTAGTTATATCTGCACAAAAAATGAATCAAAAAGAGAACAATTATCTTGCAATGGTGCAAAGGATGAGTGGAATTGTTCAATAAGTCTTATCCAAAAAGAAGTATAATTGAGACTTAACACTAGACAGCAAGTCCTTCATGAATTTAACATAGCTTGGCATTTTCTCTAATGCTTCAGCAAACGGAATATTAATGTGGAGCTTTTTAAAGACATGAAGAAATCTTGTAAATTGCTTTTCTTGCTCTTTTTTCTTCAACCTTTGAGGGAATGGAACAATAGGAACAAATTCTCTCATTTTATCACTCTCACTCACTTGCCTTTTATCTCCGTCATTCTTTTTCTCACAATTTATCTCATTTTCATTTTTTTCACTCTTTTTCTCTTCTATTTTTTTTTTCTACTCTTTCTATATCATCTATTCCTTGCCTTTTCTCTCCTTCCACCTCACTCTTTTTCTCATTCATTAACACCTTTCCACTCCTAAATTGAATTGCCTTACATTGTTCCCTTGGGTTGGTAATGGTGTCACTAGGAAATGTACTAGGAGGTCTCTCTGAAAGTTATCTTGAAATTTGACCAATCTAATTCTCCAAATTTCTGATTGAAGCTTCTTGGTTCTTGAAATTTGTCCTAGTCTCATTCATGAAGTTGGAAGTTTGCTCCACAAAGGTAGAGGTTTGCAAAGATAATTTTTCTAAATCACTCTCCAAAGTAAACATCTTCCTCCCTTGATTGCTAGATTGTGTTTGATATTGGTAAGGAGGCATTGGTTGGCTAGATTGTGCTAGACCACCCCAAGGTCTATTTGGTGGATTTCTCCAACCTGCATTATAGTTATTAGAATACTGATTCTGTTGTTGCCCCAATGCATTAACATGTGCTTCTTGTTGAGTGGCTTGACATTCACCATTTTGATGCGTTCCTCCACAAAAATCACACACCAATAAGGATGATGTATTAATAGTTTTAGCTTGCATACTACCTAACTGTTGAGTCAGATCAGTAATTTGTTGGGTTAACAGCTTGTTCTGAGCTAAGATAGCATCCAAAGTATTAACCTCCAATACTCCACCTCTCTTATTTTGGCGATCAAACTGTATATTCACTGTATTATTTGCCATCAATTCAAGAGTTTCCAAAGCTTCCTTTGGTGTTTTCAAATTAAATGACTCTCCACTTGTTGCATCCAAAATTGCCTTAAAAGAGGGTGAAAGGCCATTATAGAAAATTTGCACCTGCAGCCAATCTGGTAAAGCATGATGAGGACACTTCCTGATTAGCTCTTTGTACCTTTCCCATGCCTCATATAAGGATTCAGATTCTTGTTGCACAAAAGTAGTGATCTCATTTCTCATTCTTGCTGATTTGGATGGAGGAAAGTATTTGTTCACAAATTTTGTAGCCAAATCATCCCATGTAGAAATACTCCTTTGAGGTTGTGAATGAAGCCAACTCTTAGCTTTATCCCATAATGAAAAAGGAAAAAGCCTCAAGAGGACTGCATCGTCAGTAGCTCCGTTGATCTTCAGGTGAGAATTTGGATCCTCGGAAGCTGCACCTCCAAACTGATTTTGTTGGATGACTTGTAACAGTGCAGGCTTAATTTCAAAATTATTGGCCTGAATAGGAGGCCTCACAATGCTCTCTCTGTAACTATTAGGATCTGGCATAGAATAGTCCCGAAGGGTCCTCCTCACAAGTTGTTCTGCCATTGTTGATGCTTGCTTTGTTTGATTAAGTAGTGTTTGTGCTTGTACTTGTCTTGCTCTGTCTCTCCTTTTTTTTTGCACTACTTCTATTCCTTCTAGCAGTACGTTCAATTTCTGGATCAAAAAGCAAATCCTTCATGACATTAGTACCTCGCATAAACAGCTTAGAGACACAAAATACTAAAATACGGTCCCTTAGACCTCATGTCAGGCATGGTAAATTACCATGTATGGCCCATCTTAGGCAAAGAGTTTTTTCCTTACTCTCACCTAATGTCACAACATCGATGCCTGACGAAATCCAGACAAAGAGCTTTGGCTTGGTCACACTGGGTGCCATTCAACTTTGGGTCCAACGCCACCAAGTTAGAGAGTTCTCAAGGTAACTGACACCATTCAAATCATGCCCAACATCATACCAACATGAGACGAGTCTCTCTTCTCACGTCCAACACCACCAATCTTGCTCCTAGCATGGTCGAGACAAAGAATCTTAAGTTAGAACAACGTTCGGCACCATAAAAGCGTGTTTGACATGACATCAAAATTTTGCATACGCAGAACCCGATTTTTGGGCCACAACTTGAAATCCAACAGAAATCCAACACATGCAACAAGAAATAATGTCTCTACTCCACCGAAACAACTCAACATGCAACCAATATTTTACAAATACTCTATAACTATGGCCAATAACTCAAAAATCCCATTTCCAACATGCTTCCCACCCTTGAATTCATCAACACAACCACACAAATGAGATTCCACACTACACACAATTCTGAAATGGTTTACCAACCCTCAATTCATCCAAACCACATCAATTTTCAGCTTTCCTTACCTCATGATAGCTTGGAATTGAGGTAGAAAAGAAGAAAGATCGAGTCTCCGCACGAGATCGACGACTTGATTCAAGGCTTCTACTATCTAAATCACAAACAACACAACTTAGATAAGAATCGAAGGAAGAAGATGAGAAGATTGAGATAAAAGAGAGCTCACAAATCAAAGACCCTCTCTCTAGACTTTTGAGGAAAATGAGTTTATGAAGCTTTATTTAAAATTGAAACCTTATGTACTCTTCTTTCAAGGTCAAGCTGAATCTCTGTCTAGAGAAATCCCCTCTTAATACTACTATGTCTAATAAAAATGAAAACCAAAAGGTAGTTATGTTGTATGCATGTATATTATAATTGACTAGTAGAAGAGACACTTCATACTTCTTAATTCTTTTAAAAGAAATTAAAATAAAATAAATATTATAATGAAATAGATAATGGGTGATTATTGAAA